GTTAAAAACGTACATACGAGAGTCAGCGACCTACTTAGGGATCAGGAGTTCCAACCCGTAATTGAAGATTTTATTTGGATTATTGAGCGTCGGATCAACCTTGAGGAATCCGCTTGTGTGTCCGTAACTCTAGTATATTAAGGTGAACCTTAGCCGATTAAGTTAATTGTAGTGTGATTATTCAAGATTTGAATCGAATAATTAATTAATCATGATGTTAAATAATGATGTTTACTGATTCTTCAGATATTGTATGATTAATGCGTGCTAGTCTATGAATACAAATTAATTAGTTCTAGTGTTAGATATATTTTAACTCAATTTTCAACTATGCATGTAATCTTGTTGCATTTGACTACACACAAGTATATATCAAGGAACAAGGGAGCGGCCTGGAGGACAGTGACGTGATGTTGGTGGATGAGCCAAAGTTCTTCTTATTGTTATTTTAAAGATTTAATTTATTTACTTAAAGTGTTAAACTTGTTTTGGGATGTTTTATTAAGCTTATGCAGTTTTTTTGTCTTAACCCCGCTGAACTTATTCTTAATTAATATGAATAGATGTTTGAATTTAAATGTTTTAAAATATTGTACGGGCACGAAGATATCATTCAGTAGGAACCCAATTCGCTAATATGTTTATTCGAGTTACGCAGGTTGGGTGTTACAAACAATCCATTGAATTGGTGCGCTCGTAGGAAGCCCAAATGTTCTCTCACGGATATCGAATTGAATCATTTTACTTGGTGTATTTCATGTGGTGATCAAGCCAGGGTCAACCACCAAGGGACAAGCCTTGGAAAACTTTGCAGTGGAGTGTACAACTCGTGAAGAACCGAACTAAGGTCAACTAACGACTCATCCGATGAGTGGTGGCCATTACTCTGGAAGAGTTTTGAGCCTACTGTATATACTCAATTTTATTTTAAAGCTTCCAACAACGAAGCCGAGTATGAAGCCTTGTTATGCAGACTCTGACTAACGCTCTATTCCATTCGCCGAATCTAATTAGATCTGATCTAATTTCTTAAGGTCTAGTCTGACCTGAATGACTCTAATTAGATCTGATCTGATGTGATTTCATCTGATCTAATATTATCATTAGTTATTATTATTGATGTTGGGAGAATTTACCTAAATAGAACTAAAACATAATGACTTTTTCATCTAATGATTTTGATCTAATTGAATTCAATATGGTGATAAGATCTAATGTGAAAAGTTTTTTTTTATAAAAAAAATTCATTATTTGAGCAGAATCTGATTGATTTCACTTGGGGCAATCAAACTGTTGTTGGAAATAGACAAAAGGCAGGAATTGACATAAAAGCATTAGAGGAGCGGGAGTGGCAAGGGGTTTGGCTGCCATGCCATGCCACCAAAAAACTGCTTTTAGGTATCATCTATTTTGAGATAATAACATGACTATCGAGTACCTCTAGTTTTTAAAATATACTACGAGGTACCCTAAAAGAAAAAATGACTAAAGGGTAATTTTCCATCCAACCCTGCGTTTTCTCCTACTCTCCGTCATTTCTATACCATTACCATCAAATCATCATCATCCTCCTCCCCCCTCCCCATCTTCCTTCTCTTCTTCTTCTTCTTCTTCTTCTTCTTTGTTCTCCTCCACATCAACCCCCCCCCCCCAAAAAAAAAAAAAACAAGCCCTCCATGTTTTATTCTTCTTATTTTCTATTACTCCGTATTATTATTATTATTCTAAAAAATTAATTAGTAATTTTACAACCTAAAAAGTCATTTTACTACTCTAGGGTTTAGAAAAAAGCATTAATAAATAGTGCTAAATATGCAATAATAATAATTATTATAAATAGAGTATTACCACTACTAATTATTTTTAATATAAATAATGATATTAATTATTATTATTATTAAAATAATTAGTAGTTGTAGTACTCAATTTTTTTGAAAAAAACTAATTATTATTAATTTTAATTATTAATTATTATAAATATTATTTATTTATTATTATTTTCTTCTTGTATTGTTAGTCTTATTTATTACTTGGTATTTATCACTATCTAGAGTAATAAAATTACTACGTTTTTTAGGGTGTGAAATTACTAATTAATTTTAAATAATAATATTAATAATAGAAAAATAAGAAGAAGGAAATTAAGGGAGAGGGTGGGGTGGGGGCTGGATTAGAGGTACAAGAAGAAAGTTAAAAAAAAAAAAAAAAGAAGAACGAGAAAAAGAAAGAAGAGGAAGAAGATGTTGAATGCGGGGCAAATATGAAATTATGAAGAGGGGGATGATGATGATGATGATGAAATGGGGGAGATAGTGCGAGCAAACGGGGGCATGAATGAAAAATCACCCCCTTAGTTATTTTTCAGGGTAATATTTTAAAAACTAGAGGTTTTCATTATTTTAAAATAGAGAGTACCTAGCAGTAATTTTTTGCCACCTCAGTCCAAAGCATCACTTTTTTCTTTTTGCCTCGCAAGTCAGGTTTAATTTGCCATGCACTCCGTGTCTTGAACGTTCATATCTTTTTTTTTATTATTTTTTTTTATTTTTTGATGAAAAAAGAACATCAATTATTTGTATTTGAGAGAGATTTTTTTGTAAAGTAATAGAATTATTTTTTTTACTTTCTTCATCTCGCAATAGATTATAATTTTTTTCCTCACCTCTTGATATCTTTTATTTATTTGTATGTTTTCTTTGATTATTTAATTCAAAAAAAATGAGAAAAAGTCAAAACAAAAAGATTAAATCCAGATGCCGGGAGTATTGTTTTAGCGCAAAATGTAACTATTAGTATGAATCTAAATATTATAAAAAAATAAAAGGAAAATATAATTTACTTAGATAACACTAAAACATAATTGAATTCTCTATATAATACGACAAGTTTTAATTTCCATAACTAGTAAGTAATTAATTAGTTCTTAATTATTAATTGTACTGTACTAAAATTCCCTTTATATAATTTTATATTTACTGTTCCATCATGTCCTACTATCCTTCGCTAGTTGTCGATCACAAAATGCTGATATTAATGTCCCACCACCACTTCATATGTAGCACTATAATGTAGCTAAAATTACATATCTAGCACTGCTATTAGGGGTGTTCAAAAATATCCGATCCGAAATATCCGTCCACGATCTGGGCCGGTCCGATCCGAAAAATGGATATCCAATCCGATATTTTAGCTTTTGGATATTTCGGATCGGATATGGATTCAATTTCTGGAATTTTTCGGATAACCGGATATCCGATTTTTTTTTGCTATATGTTTTTGGAATTTATGTTTAAATGTAATTTTATGTCGATTTTGGAACTCAACCATTTTGGACTTTTTACATTAGCATTTTTGAATCTTTTGTTTTAATAGTGTTTTTTTGTTTGTTTAGGAAAAATTACCAAAGTTACTCCCAAATTAAATTTGCTATCATTTTTTATTAGGCCATTACCTAGTGGTAGAATTTTTCTTTTAGTAAATCTATATTAAATTTGATATTTTGGGTTGATTTTGGTATTTTACCTTTTTTTTTGTAAATTTTGGCTAAAAACTCAACTTTTCGGATAATCCAGTGATCCGATCTGAAAAATCGGATATCCAAATTTCGGATATCCGAATATTTTCGGATCAGATATGGAATGAGTTTTTCGTGATCCGAAATTTTCGGATATCCGATTTTTCGGATCGGATCGATCTGATTGAACACCCCTAACTGCTATGACATTATTGGCATCAATAGAAGTACCTAGTGTGGCATTGGCCTTGTTTGGATGTTGGTTGTCAACTGTCCGCCGTTGGCTGTTTGTATTGGCTGTTCTAAATAGCTATTTAATTTAGCTGGTTTGACCGTCAGGATGAGTTGGCTGATCGTTAAAAATGTTTGGTAAAATTAGCTGTTTGAAAATAATTACTCCCTCCGTTTCTTAAAAACCTTCCTCTTTCATTTTTTTTGTTTTTCTTTAAACACTTTCTTTTTCTATTAAAAACCACTTTTATCCCTACATTTTCATACCCTACCTATCACATCATACTTTTTCACTAATAATTAAACTATCACATCTTACTTTTACCCATCACATCAAGAGCAAAATTGGAAAGTCAACTAAAATTACACTTTCCTTATTTTGCCCCAAAGTCAAAACAGGAACCGTTTTAAGAAACGGAGTGAGTATTTCGATATATATATATATATAATTAGAATATTTTAGTAAACCAAAAGATCCATGAGAGAGCTGAGGGAGAGAATATTTATTACCTTATTTACTAAAGTTATGTTACTCCCTAATTATTCAAAAATTCTATAGACCGATCAAAACAATAGACCCCTACTATGATCTAATAAAGGTTCTCCACATTGCGTTCCACTTTTCTTTAGATCTAAGAATTGTTCAGTTTGCAGTTTGTGAGAGAAACGAAAGTAACAAAGAGATAATTATTCCAAAGCATTTTTATTTTATCAAAAGCATATACATACTACTATTACTACATCAATTTGAAATATATATATATACTACTTCCATCCCGCTATATTCGTCCACTTTTGACTTTTGGAACTGTTCATCTAAGCAATTTGACTCATCAAATTCTTTCAATGTGTAAGCCTAAATATAATCATGTGTGATCTTGTTTGATTTGTCTTAACATATAGATTATTAATATATAATTTCTATAATTTTTTAATATACAAATTACAAGATAAAATGGATTAAAGAAGTGTATTGGATGGTGTGCAAAAATGAAAGTGGACAAACATGGTGGGACGGAGGGAGTATATATTAAAAGCATAAAATTCATCATTGGTCATTCAACTTTGTGAGTTGTGCATGATTGATCCTTTAAGTTTCAAAACTTCATGAGTAATTCTTAAACTTTATGAATTGTACACAATTGGTCTTTCAGATTTCAAAAGTCCATAAGTAGCCCTTCAAGTATGCGTCAGCACTCCAGATGATGTCTTTTTGACAGTAAACATTAAAAGCTAAACAAATACTAGTTCCATATAATACGAGTAAATTCCCCTAGGTAGACTACTTCGTATTTTATGGAACTAGCTTAGTACCTCATTTAGCTTTTAACGTTTATCGCCAAAAGAACCTCATGTAGAGGGCTGTATTTAAAAGACTACTTATGGACTTTAAAAACTTGAAAGATCAATCGTGCACAAGTCATAAAATTAAAAAATTCTTTATGAACTTTTGAAACTTGAAACACTAATCCGGCCGTTTATTGATATATACAGAAATAGAAGAAATTATTATTAGCATACTAAGCCAGTAGACGACGCAAGGATCCTATTAGAGTCGGGAAAATGAGTCGTCTCGTACACCGGAAGTTCTTCCCGGAATCTTCTTTTTCCGACCAGTGCCCGGAGATCGATCTCGAATAAATCTGAACTCGAATCGCTCAGATCATCCTCGTATTCTTCTTCTTCTTCTTCTTCTTCTCCTGCACTCATCCATGACTCATTCTTCCATACCTTGTAATGGTTATGGTAGCTTTTCATTGAAATGTCCCCGGAGAATGCTGCCGGATGAGATTTCTTGTTTTCTTGATTATTTCCCGGCGCCGGCAACTCGCGGCTGTATATGCGCCTGTGCCCGCAGGGACGGCAGTCGTCCCGGACGATCACGCCCACGGGGTCGAACCTCACCGCCCTCTTGGACCCGCTCCTATTCATCCTCGGCGTCCTGTTGAGGCAGGAGGAGCGCGATGCTGGCGGAGACGCGGTCTGCGTCGCCGCCAGCGGGGACCCCCTGCCCTTGCGGGCCACGCCGGTGCCGCCGAATATAGAGTTGAGGAAGCTGGTGAGGCGCGCCCCCGGGGAGACGGGCGTTTTTGTCTTCTTCAAGTTCGCGTACATCTTCAGCGCGGCGGACTTGGACTTGATCCCCATCATCAAGTCCACATCCCCACGCGACGACGAGTTACGTGACTTTTCCTGACTCGTCGTCGTTGTGGTCTTCACCTGCTTGAGCCTCGGAGTATTAAAACACGACGTTTTCGTGGAGAAGAGGTCCGGCTCGGACGAAAGCCCGCTAGAACTCGACTCTGACAAGCCGGAACTAAAGAAGAAAGGGTCACTCTTGTCGTTGTAGCTTGAAAGCAACAACGATGAGAGTGGCCTATTACACCCCTTGGTGTGGACTTTAGGAGCATCAATTCCCTTTTGGTACATCCAACTCTCTACAAAACGAGCTTTTTTACAAAAGCCGTCAACATCCCCCTTCAGACTGAGCCGGCTGGCTTGCGTGTACGTTCTCGGGTCGTTCGAGTTCTCGTCGATCCGATCAATGGAACGATAGATCTCGTCGAGGAGGGTGGCGGAGAAGGTGGAGTATTTTTGCTCTTTAGGACATTTTTGTCGCTCGAAATTAGACATTTTCTCAAACACTTTCAATTTGGAAGAGAGGGTAAAATGGGAAAGTTGTGTGGAAATGGAATGTGAGTAGTGAGAAAGAATGGGAGGGGGATATATAGAGAGGAGATGCGCGTGCATGGTGGCCTTTGAATTTAGTCAATTTGTTAATTGAATCAATTTTTGCCAGTTTGGCAGCTTATTATTTGGGTCCAATTCGGGTTTCCTTTTGTGCCCCTCATTCTTTGAGAAATTTCCATTTACATGCCCTGGGATTAATAAGAGAATGGCAAATGATGAAGAAGTAAGTAAATTTTGTCATTTTATTGTTTTTTATTTGCAAAAAAAAAAAGATCAAAAAATACTTTTGATATAAGGCCCACAAAAAGTGCAATTACGATGCGTATAGTCGATCGGTGTTTTCCGTGCATATGAAGGCAGGAAGAAACCTTAACCGAGACCGCAAAGGAATTGGAAGAGGAAGAGATGAATGACGAAGTCTGAGATCCCCTTAGATGAAGACGAAGAAGCCCCATGATAGGAGTGATTTTATTTGTATTAGAAATACCAAAATATTATGGAAGAACTCCTTAGATAGGAGTGAAAACCATGAAAATATCAAAATAAAAGTCATAAGTTTTTTAGACTAAAATAAGAGTTTACACTGTCAGTGTTATACTGCTACGTTCACAACATTCTTACTTTGTAATTGCCAAATTATCAACGCCGCGCCACACTGTCATCCGTCGCCACTGGCCATCAGAGAACCGTCGGAGAGACTGATCACACCGACAACATGTACTCTAACGTATACCACTGCACACTCTCATTATAGTCTTATTTTAATCTTAGAAGATTTAAGACTGCTATTTTGATATTTTTATACCTTTTACTCATATTGAGAGACATTCTTTAAATATTATTCCTCTATTATTGTGTCATACTACTTCCTAAGTGGCTCACAAATTCTCACTCCGTAATATTTGAAGGTATTAATACATGCTACTCCGTATTAATTAACCGTGCTGTAAAACTACTTCCTCCCTGGCTCCGTCCCACTGAGTTTATCAAGTTTAACTTTTTGGAATTGAACTACACAAATTTCACTCAATTAAAAAAAAATTACATACTACCTTCGTCCCAGAGTATTTGTCCACTTTCATTTTTACACATCATCCAATATACTTCTTTAATCCATTTTATCTTGTAATTTGTATATTAAAAAATTATAGAAATTATATATTAATAATCTACGGAGTATATGTTAAGACAAATCAAACAAGATCACACATGACTATATTTAGGCTTACACATTAAAAGAATTTGATGAATCAAAGTGCTTAGATGAACAGTTCCTAAAGTCAAAACTGAACGAATACTTCGGGACGTAGGGAGTAATATACTAATAATATAACATAGATTTTTAAAGATACTCCATATATTAGTATTATTACAATTAAAATCTAATTAATTACTCTCTCCGTCTAACAAAACATTTTTCCTTTCTTTTTTGATTCGTTTCAAAAAACTTTTATCTTTTCTATTAAAAAGATACTTTTACCTCTATTAATTCTTAATTTACCTAAGATGAGTATTCGTATGGTAGTGGACTTTGGCAAATATTGTTGATTTTTATTTGTAAAATAGAAATAAATAAAATGCAAAGACATGTGATATTAGTTATGTTGTCATCTCACAAAGCCAAGCCAAGCAAACTTACCAAAGCAAAGCCTCTTGTCCAATTTTTTTTGTTGATTGGATTAAGAAACCACCAAATCAGCATTTTATGATTAAATATTACTCCCTATTTATTCCTGTCCAAAAGTTTTGGTCCACTGGGCACTCACTTTGTCTATACATACATCCGTCCCAAATTATTTGCAACGTTTGCTTTTTCAGCAGTAACAGAAACTTTTGTTTATTTCTACGTTTTCATTGGTTATTTGATAAAATAAAATATTCTTGACACCTCTTATTTCGAAGAACTTTTCATGTAATTTTTTGACATGTAAATTTCATTTTTTATTTTCTATACCAATATGTAAATAATATGAATTGAAAAAATTGATATTTTGACTCGAGAATAAAAGTGTGACAAATATTTAGGGACTGAGAAAGTGCATACACACACATGCATACATACATGCATGCATGCATGTATGCATACATACATACATACATATATAGATATACATATATATACACACACACACACAATATTTTGAGGCTTTTGTCTCACCACGTAAAACGTACCCAGCAAGTACTAGTTGTATTTTGATCACTTCATGCCAAGTGTTCCGTACAATAATATTAATTATGAAATACTCCAGCTATCATTACCAATTAAAATTTTGTACTGCACAAACATATTTATCATTAATTTATGTGTAACATAAACACATACGAGATATATTTGTACGATACATACATAAGTCGTACGTGTTACGGACGAGTTACATTTGTTGTACAGTGAAAAATTTACATATCTATGTAACGGCACCGTTTAGTTTCAGCATTCACAGATTTCATATTTTATACGGAGTACTTTTATCTTCACAATATATACAAAATTCTAAATTTATTCTAGGGAGTACTATATTTTTTTATTTTAAGAATTGTGTTGAATCTTGCATTTCAATTGGTTGGGTTGTGCATTTTTAATGCTAATAATTCAACTCCACGCTTTACATGAATATAATAATTATAGTACTCCGTAGTAATTAGCTTGGTAATTAGGGTTGGCTTATTATTATTATTATTATTATTATTATTATTATTATTATTNATGCATGTTCCCTGAGATATGACTGATCTGTTCTACTTACGGAAAACTAAATCAAATACTCCGTATATGTTGGCCGGTAGTCGTTGGGGATAAACATGTATGCCTTGTTAACTTTAATGTCACAACTCTCACAAGTCCAAATTTTATTGTCAACCAATCAAGAAATTAATAAGTCTTTAACAAAAAGTCAATTTCGGATGCAAGATTCGGATAAAAATATATCCCGTCTGCACAAATAAGGGCGTGTGACGTGTTAGTCTTGGAATTGTCGGAGATGATTAGATAAACGAACGCCGAATACTCATCATTTTGAATTAGCAGAATGTTCATTTTCAACCGAAGTGTTCGTTTTCAACATAGAGTGTTCCTTCTGAAACAACTTGACGGCATGGTCATTCTAAATTAATTTTTTATTCACAAGTTTACTATTAGGTACCAAGAGGTTGGTACATTCGGCTGAACTATATAATTTATCAAGCAATACGTGTACGGGTGCTGGGCAGGTGCAATAAACTCATTTTTTACTTTCCAATAAAGGGCATGTTTGAGAATAGCGTTAGAGATTAGCGTTAGTGTTTTGGATAAGATTTTAACGGTGCAGATTACTTTGAAAACGCTAACGCTAAACGCTGGCCGTAGATAACCTTTTCAAAACGCTAACGCTAATCTCTAACGCTATTCCCAAACAGATACAAAGTAAAGGACATGCAGGACCCGTTTAACAATAGTTTCAACGTCTAACTTTAGGAATTTTAAAAGATTGTCTAACAACAATGTTTAATTTTTATCATTTTTAAAGTTAATCTACAAAATTAAAAAACTACTCAAAATACTAACGCTAATTGAAAATAGTAACTATTTGTTTTTTATTTTTATTTTTTTAAAAAAAATTCTTAAATTACGTGAAAATAAACTATCTAAATCAAATGTGTATTGGGAGAGTATTTAGTTATAAATTTTATGGGTCACTAGTTTGAAGTTGTTGCCCGGAATTATTCCGGAGTTACGTGGCCGAACCATTTCAGATTTAGTTGGTTAGTATTCATACTTTCATTAGCTGGCAAAACTATAATTTTCCTCTTTTTTTTTCAAACAATAAGATAAACATAGGGATCCATTAATCCGTACATGGATTGTTTTCTTTATTAATTACTCCATTTTATTTTTAAAACAAATGGTCGCTATTCAACTTATTTTAAGCTTTTTTTTTTGTTTTTTTTGTTTATGTTTTAAGCTATATTTAGAAAAAAAGAATATTTTTACCCATCGGTTTGACAACTTTGTTAACATGGACAATACAACTGAATTCGGAGTATTATACAATAGAAAGAAACAAGAAAGTACAAATAGTCGAGAAGAGTAAAAAAAATGCCACCCAATGACCTTTTTTTAAAAATGAAATTTTGGTACCTTACAAAAAAATGAAATTTTAATATTGTATGATTAAGATTATATTTTGACCATTGATAATTTATCAACGTTTAACTAGATTAGACTTAAAATGAACGATAAGCGGTGAGTAATACAGGTTAGACTTAGACCATATTCTCCCCAACTTATTTTTTTACTTATATAACTTATTCTTATTGATACCAGATTAGATCATAAATAACTTTAACTATAATTACATTCAGATTAGATCAGACCAGATCAGAATTTATTCCAATCAAATCAGTTGAAGAGAACATGACCTTAATATACAGAAATGATATTTGTACTCTATTTTTTTGTCATTGACACTCTAAAATACTCCGTACACTATTAATGTGAGAGTGAACTGTGCATCCACCTCACACGTCGGAGTAAGAACAAATGAACCAAAATATATAGGTTCAAACCGTTCAACCAAATTCATTAGCACGAGGTTTTTTTTACTAAAAGTGTCCAAATATAGATCCGTGAGAACTTGGCCTAGAACGAATAATATGATACTAATGCCCATAGCCAGACCGTTAAATTTACTGTCGCCGAGGCCCAAATGTACTTATTTATTCCTCATTATTTCTCTCCGCTTCATAATACAGAACCATAAATTTAATTTTTAAAAACTCCAAATTAAAAATTTTAATTTGAGACTAAAAAAATATATAGTGGTGCCTAATTAACAACACCTCATGCTCCAAAGATAATGAAGGGGGAATTCATGGTACGAAAAATAAAGAGTACATACGTAGCTGTACAAATACTTTGAATAATCAAAGTCTAAATGACACTTACCTCCCTCCGCCCGTCCCTGCCTCCCACCCACCTCACGCTGCCACCTAGCTATTCTGGCCATTGTTCACTCATTAAAAGCAATGATTTTAAACCCAGACTGTAGGTCGACCCAACCGTCCCAACGGGGAGGACAGATCCCGGGTCAACCCGGTTTTCCCCAAATTTTCCAGGTTTTTGGGGGTTGGACCGGACCGGTTGTGTGTCCGGGTCGCGGTTTGACCGGTCAGACCGCCCGGTCCTGTCCGGGTTTAATAACACTGAGTAAAAGAGGATGAATGTCATGGTTCCGACCCCTCTTTCACCCCCTCTTACACCCCCAAGATCGCCAAATGGCCCCCCGCCAAATTGGTGATCTAGAGGGGAACGGAGGTGGGGTGCAAAGGGGCAAGGGGGATAAAAATCATCAATTTTAACAACGGATCATCTTAGGTGCCCCAAAATGCCAAGGTCATTTAAGGTCACTTTTGGCCAAGGTCAAAAGATCCTTGCAGATAAAGAAATAAACGAACATTGTGCAACTTATAAGTCGCGAGTAAACACCGTTCATCCAGATGTATAATATATGAACTCCTCAAACTCATTTCATAAAACATTTATGAAATCATCAGCATCCCATGAATCCTTCCTTTATAGACAAATATGGGAGATGTATTAATAACTCAACACATGATCAATACAATCTGCAATAGATTTACAAACAAATAAAGGGAAAAGTTTTCATAGTTCTGCTCCCTTGTGTCGTTTGTAACTTGTGATAATGAATATTATTAACTCTAGTGGCATCATAAGTATTACCTGGAGATTAATAGCCTTTCTGCAGATTCTAAAGTCAATACAGGTTGGAGCAATGGTTTCTTTCAATAAACACTTTGTATCTTGCATGAAACCTTCTTCTTCTTCTTTTATTTCTTGGAATCATAACGACAACACTTCACTGGCTGAATTCAATCGCTGGACATCCACGAACTGGTAAAGATCGCCGCGCCTTTGCTTCTCCAATGGCAGATTTGTCCTGTAAGCATCGACATTCGTCAAGCAAATGGGACAGATTCGATAAGAAAATGCAGGAGATGAATGATAAGAACGCGAAATAGACAGTTCTGCATTTGCAACAACAAATCACCTCCTTTGTTCAATCTGTGTATAGTCTATCTCTGATATTATTATTGCCTCTTCATGCTCAGTAGTAGCTACTATTTCCCCAAACTGCCAATGAAATTCACAATAAATTAAAACTACAATATAATAAAGTTAAAGTTACTCATAACAATGCAGCTTAAAGTTCTTGGAATGCCGGATGAGCCATAAAACATACATGATATATTGTAAAAGGAAACGTGCAAGTCCCTTATATTCTTTGCTCTAGTCTTGTGAAACGACTTTTAAAAATTCAAAGGATTAACCCACAGTTCAATTTTGAGCCTTTAAGAAAGTACCAACAAAAAAAGCGGAAAACTCACCGGTCCAACAAGTGTGGAATGACCCCATGCCACATATCCCGCTCCAGCATCTCGAGCAGGGGAACATGTTGCAACATACAGCTGAAAAGTACATTCAAAAATCATAAGCACTCCGTAGATAGAGAGTGATTCATAGTCCCTCCTTATGCAACAAGTCAGTCACTGTTTGGTTTTGGACACTTATTTTTGTGTTTAATTCAAATTCATTATTTTTGAAAGGTTTTTCAAACCAATTTTGACATGCCTAACCAATGCCCACCAAAGCATTTCAAATATAGAATTTGATCTTTAAATGCTCAGGACGAAATGCATTTAATGTGCTTACTTAATATGTTCATTTTATGATAAATTTCCATATTTGGAATGACCAGTGCCCCAAGAACAATGGTTAGCAGTTAGCAAAACTTTTTTTAAACCATCATATGCTGCACTAACTTGAGATTTATGATTAGCAAAGGCATTCTCAAATTTGTTATTACAACAAAAGCTAATATAATCTCAATTCCGTTGGAATATAAGGATCAAGGTGTACACAGTCATACTCTTGTGAGATAAAGACCTATTTATGTTAGACCTTTGAATTTTGATGCATTAATGTGTTTACTACCCAAAACTTCATAGAAAGAAACAAAGGAAGATTAACATGACATTTTTATTTAGATGATTATTTACGCAAAGAAAAACATCGTTAGTAATGACTCTGTTATCTCCATTGACAACGGATACATCCGATTTTTTATTATCAAATATTAATCATTAACTCATTCTTCTTTTTCTTAGCCATGATCATCTACTTCTCGTTGGATGTGGATGGCAAGGCTTAAGTCCTTTATAAGTTATAAAGTTAAAGGGTGTATAGCATAAGACTTCTTATATGGTTGCGAAGCATTGTGAATTAGTCCCCCTTTAGCTAATTTAACTTAGTCCATCACTAATAACAATCTCAAGTTTGGGCAGACAGGATTAGAAGACGTAAAAACTATGGCTTAAGTGAAAAGTACATTAAACTTTGTAGCTTAATATTCTAATATTTTGGTCATGTATCCCAGTTTGAAAATGCAATACTAAAGTTCCTACTTCCTACAACTACCAAAAAAATAGTACAGAGTATCACACTAATCCCTTCCAGAATTCCCAGATCATCAAAATGATCAAATTATTACAAATTGAAACATTGCTAGAAGATGATATGGGTATGGCTACTTGGAAAATTGTATTGCATACTCAAGATGTAAACTGTTCTTGAAGCCAAATCAAGTATGCCCTTCGCAAGGTGAGTTCCATAGTATTTTTGTTAGAAACCTACTAATTATTACAGTAAAACTACTCCCTAGAATATAGGCCACTGAGTAGAGCTTACTTTAAGTGCATATCTTGTATAAAATATAACAAATCTTTGTTCTCTATTTGAAAAAAAATAGAGGAGCATAAAATAAAAATTTATTTCAAACAGTATCTCTCATAGAGTTTCATAATAATGCTCAAAGTTGTTATTTGTTTCACCTGATAGCCCTATTAATTTACAAAAAAAATCTATTTCTCATTTGAAATTTAATTCCTTTATGCACTTCTATATTGAACATCTTAACATTTACTTTTTATGTTTTTACCAAATGTATCACCAATTGCGGTAGGCTCCAATTTTTTAATTCTCACAATAAACTCTTCAGCAAATGTTCTAATTGGGCAGTACTAGTTAAAATGGAAACCAATCAAACCTAATCTAAAATGGTTGGAACAATGGTGAAACCGGTTGAACCATTGTCTATGATTTGATCACTAGCCCGCTATTAAAAATCATGTTTAAATGTTTTGTGCTCAGTGTCCCTGGCCATTATAGCCATTAACTATGAACACTTAAAGATTCTTTTCTTTTTATGCAAACCATCAAAAAATATTTTTTTTAACTCTTCGTAATTGCGTACACGTGGGTGGCTTGGAGTGGGGTGAGCTTAACGGAAATATACTCATTTCCTATGTTAAGGGACTTACCACTAAAGGTTAAGAAACAGGCAATTTCTTCTTTTTCACCTTTTTATTGTACATTTTTTAATTATTTGATTTGGTCATTTATTATTGGAAAAATTAAACCCTGCTTCCTCATTTATAGATTTATGTACTAACAATAAAACCGGCTTGGCGGCTTCTTTCTAGCCTAGTTGGACAACAAGGATTGTGATCCTTCTTCCGCAAAGTACTAGAGTTCGAACCGGTACAAAGGTCATTGCGATTACCTCATTTACTCAGCGTATGTACTAACAATAAATGAATTAAGCATAAAGCAGAACCAAAAAACAAGTTGAAGCCAGCCTCGTTATTCCAGAAGACAGAAACATTCGAATTTTGTGTGGGACTGTGGGTGTGTGGGTTGGTGGTGGGGGAGGGGGGTGGCAATGATCTTTGATAAAATTACGATCTGAAGTAAAAATGAATTTAAGATACCTGATTATCTGCAGCCCTGCAATAAGAATGAAAACAAAAAATTAACAAGGAAATATTTGTGATTTCATAAACCAAGTAACATCATGATGATACTGTGTTTCGAACCAAAGGATTTATCGATGAAGAGTTCTCCATTACGGCTGAAAGGGAACCTCTTTAGAAGAAAAATGACATTTTTACCTTGCTCTCTGTAGTAATTCCCAGTGAAGGGGTCCAGTGGTCATGTTAAATGCACCAGGATAGCAGATCAAGTGAACACCTGACAACCAAATGTCACAATCAGTTGGCAGGACTTTTTATAGGCCACATTTGCTTGAGTTGTTGAGAATTTTTAAATTTCTGAGTTTGAACTTTGAATTGTTGCTATTGTGATGTAAAATTACTTATGGAGTATAAGGCTATTCATACAAAAGTTAGGGTACTCCGGTATTTGCGAAAAAAAGGTAGGTATTTTTCAGACAGTTGAGGGAGAATTCGAGGAATGGTTTGAATTGCTACAGTAAATTCAACTTGGAGTTGTTCAATTTCATTTACATTAGCCAGCCACAAACAGGAGCTGAAACGCTAGGAAAAATGCTCCCATTATCCAATACGTAGTTACATAATGCAGAACAGAATAAACAACAACTAATTGTGCCATCCAATCAATCCATCAAACATGCCATCCATAAAGCCAAACCATTATCTATGGTTTTCATAATCAGATCATTTCGAAAATACTAAGCAATTGTTCTAGGTTAAAGGGTAAAATGGAAAGTGTTTTCAAGAAAGATAAACTGGAGTGGCACCACTAACATATGGTCTAGCCCATATGGGATATATACCATCCTATAACATTGTGGATCACTTTGATTGTGCACAACTAAACGAGAACTAGAGAGATGCATGGAGTGGATAAAATTACATAAAACAAATTGCACTCTAGGCACGTGATCACAATGGCATGAACACAAGGCTGGAAGCGTGGAAGTCTATGCAATATTACCATACACTAGATTTGGTTATTGAGAACAAGGAGTATGGGTGGAGTACAACAATGACTAGTTAGATTCTAAAGAAGCTAGTACGAGAGGAGCTATTTTAAAAGAGAAAGAACTGACCTCTTGATGCATATAGCATAGCTAGCTCCTGAAAGCGAATGTCATAACAAATGCCTATACCAATTCGTCCAACCTCTGCAAGAATACAAATAATAATAATAATTGTTATTGTTGTTGTTGTTGCCCATGCTGTTAGCATCATCATATCTTCCATACCCAAGGACAAACATGTTCTGATGTTCAATAATAGTAAATCCGTATCCAATTTCAAATGCAAATTCTTGACAATTACCTGTATCGACAACTGTAGGCGTCTTCCCAGCTGTGAGGGTCTTAGACTCTATAAAAGTTATCTTGCCGGGAATATCAATATCAAAAAGGTGTATCTGTTAAGAAGAAATATAAACAATAATTAGGACATGAAATAATACAGACTTCAATTAGACAATAACAACAAACCCTAATCTCAACTCCCTTGGGGTATGAGGGGTCAAGATGTATCATGAATGCAACTTTACCCTGTTAGGCTGTTTTCATTAGACCTTTGATGCATTGCTGTATTTAGTGTCTAAAATTTTGCAGAAAGTAAAAGTCAAGGGAGGTTTGATGTGCCATTTTAATTTAGTACGAAGTGCATCATTTACCTAAGCTAAAACATAGGATTTCTGTCCAAAAACACAGCTACAGATAAATAGGATATGTTTATGAAAGTAAATGAGACTGAACTAGTAAGGTCAAAATACAATAATGAAGATTTGATAAATGTTTCTATACTAATGGCATCTTCCGGAATAGGAAGATGAAAAGGAAAGAAAAAACTTAGATATTAATAAACAGAACCTTAACCATGCAACGTATTGCAGAATCAGAAACGTACGACGAGATAAGTCATTGTGCCCACTATATATAGGTTCACATGATCAATATTATCGCTTCAGACTTTCAGGGCTTGTGATGGAATCATTCAAATTCTATTCAGTCACTTTCTATTGATGTACAAGAAATTACCTTTCTGTGTTTTGCTTTCAACTTTCCCTCAGAGTCAAAGACACAGCACGTGTTAAACAGCTTATCCCCACTTCGTTCTGGTATTGAACCACCTATAATTGTGACCTTTAGAAGACGAGCAACTTCAGAAAGCATGGCTGTTGAAGGCGATGCACTAGGGCCAGCATCAATGTCCTCCGCATAGATTGGGAAGCTATCGTTTGAATATGGACTATTCCATATTTCCTAGCAAAAGAAAGTAACTCATTATCTGAAAACATAGCAACACCCAAAACTAAATCCAACATCAATTCTTTGCACTTTAAGCATTTTCCCATTTACTCTAATGCCAGGAAATTTGTGACTAACTGTGTAACTAGGGTTTAAACTAAGCAAATAATTTTGGCTCAATTCTTGATTCATCTTCGGATATAACAAATTGAATTCGAACATTTCAAATACCAATAAAAATTCAAATAAAGAGTTGAAAGTTGATATTGGTCCATCGCTTAAATTATGACTAAAACAAATTGAATATTTGTTTAGGATTTGTTGACTATTCAAATAATTAATCTACTACAAATCTCATTTAAAATTTGTTTATTAATCGGATTTGAATTTGCATTTGGAAAAATCAAGCTAATACAAATTAAAATACTTGGTATATGGATTTGGTTTGTTTACAACGTTATGTGTAACCCAGGCTACAAGAACACCCAACAACCCAAAAAGTAAAAAATTAGGTAAGTGTTGTAATTTGTCTATGTTAGTGATTAAGCAATCACAACCATTAAGAGGTGAATGACGTACACGAGCAGCATCTTAGTTGTTGCCAAGTATTTGTATTTTTCAGGAAACTAAATTTTGTTTCACAACACATGCATGCAGCATTGAGGAGAAGGGCAGTAATTGGAATGCTTAGCATTCTCAATTCATGGAATAAACTCATTTTGGAATGAGATATTGAGATACTCCAAACAAACTCACAACAATAACAGAGAAACCAGATAAAAAGGAAACATCCTCGCCTTCTTGGGGCTTTCTGATTCACACTATCAGCCTAATTTTGAGTCTAGGACGTGGAAATCTACTCGACTGGTAAAGTGATATAGTGGTAGAAATTCAACCCTAAATCCTTACTATTCAACTTCCTTATGAAGCATCAAAGGATCCCAAATGGAAATCCACAACTTCTATTTCGCATAAATTCCATCTCGGGTATGGATAAAAATTAAACGACTCCTACAGTGAGAGTGATAGTCAATTTGAAAGCAGAAATTGACGAACAGGACAGCTGAAATGCACTCACAGGCAAAAGTATGAGCTTAGCTCCCTTCTCTGCAGCCTCTTCAATGGCACTTCTAGCATGAACAATGTTCCTTTCCTTATCCTCAGTCACAGACAATTGGCAAAGGCCGATCTTAAACTGCTCTCCAGAATCCAGAGAGTACAAATCAGCCGTTACAAAAATGATTTTATTTGTTGAAATAAATTCATCCTTCCCAATAAATTTAGCGAAAAATGAAATTCAGAGTAGGAAGGAGACCTTAGTAACCGGAGGACTGGGCAATTTGATAGCTTGAGGAACCCTAGATTGTTCAGGATGGAGCGAAGCGGCCATGATCGAAGAAGACGGAGCAGTGAGGGTCGTACCAGAAAAGGTGTTGAACTTGGAGAGGAGGCTGCTGCCGTAAGTGGTTGTACCTTTGTCGAGTAAGAAAGGACGACGGCGCTGCAGCAGAGACGGCGTGTATCTTACGGTGGCGCGGGAGGGACCGGAGAGTGGTGAGGAACAAAGGGCTGGAGACGACAAGGCTAGATAAGCTCTCATTTGCTTGACTTTACTTTCTCGAAAGGGTTAGAAAAGTAATAAAGTGAAATTTGTTCGACACTTCGACCAAAACACAGGATTTTCACTCTCCTGAAAAATGAAATGTGTGATTTATATTGAAAAATTTACCTAAATGGGACTAAAACATAATGACTTTCCCAATATAGGACCATATGTTTTTATTTTCCAATGTAGGACCTTTGGTCATTATAAAATAGTCATTATTCAAGTAAATGTCCATCATTACTGGATATTATTCATACCACTAAGTCATTATTAAGTCCTATTTAGAGAATAAAAAAGTTCGAATCCTACATTCGGAAAGTCATTATGTTTTAGTCCTATTTAGAGTAAATTTTAGTATACTTCTCTCCTAGCATAGTTAGTATGAATTGAATTTGAGTCTTACAAATTGGCACTCCTTGTCTTATCGAATGTGCAACGCCCGTCGGTAATTATTTCATTTTCTTACAATCTATGTGTGCGGCGATTCAATTTTCTTCCTTATGATAATGTTCTTCTTTGATTCGTCGATAAAATTTTGTTCTGAAGTCGTCCTAAATCGATAAATGTAACGGGACAGTGACTAATAAAAAATATTTCATTGTGTTCCGTTGTCTCGTACATTTATTTCTAAATTCAAATATTCATTTACATCGCTTTCTTTATCCAATTTCATTATGTTATGTTGTCTCGTACGTTTATTTCTAAATTCAAATATTCATTTACATTACTTTCTTTATCAAATATTCATTTTATAATAAAAAATTGAATTAGGACAGCTTGAAATGTTCTGAATTATCCTGGTCCCAAAGTGAAAGAAACAACAGAGAACAATTTCATGTCCCGAAACATGCTAACCCATTTCCAGAAAATGAGAATGCGACTGGACAACTGCAAACACGAATCGTTTCAACCCGTGTCCATCCCTAGTACTCCACTTCTACAAAACTCTCTACAATATAATTTTTTTAAACATACTCGGTAAATTTAACATTTTATTTAGTTAGATTTGTTATGATGTTCTCATATTTGCAAAAAAAAATTGAACATTCATATAAAAGTATGCTACTTTTAAAATTCTCTAAACATCTTTTGACATAAATTAAAATATTTCTCCAACTCATGTTTATAATTTATATCCAAACTAATATTCTTTTTATTTAAATGTGTTTGTTCAGCTTAATTTTTTCCATATAACAAAATTTGGTTACCAATTTTATAAATACTCTATACTACATTATATATTAATAAAATAAAATATTTTTTTTGAAAATATCCTGCATTATAAATCTAATATGTAATCTAAGCTGGAATTTTTATTTAATTAATAATTAAATAATGTGCAGTTTAATTCTTTAATTTCAAAACCTTGAACTAGACAATATATTGGGCATTTTTATACACACTTGGATCATTTTTAAGGCCCACATCTTTCTAGCCCACCAAAAAAAACCCGAAGAAGAACCGATGGAGGGAGAACAGGGCCGGAGCTGTTGCGGTGGCGTCAGTCGGAGGGAAAGGGTGGCCGTGAGGCGGCAGCGGTGGAGTTGTGGACTGTGGCCGGCGGCGGGATGGGTTTGGTGGGCCCAACGTTTTTAAATTAAAAATTTAAAAAGAAAAACTCAAAAGTCCAAATATAATTCCCAACCGTTATTAACGGCTCACTCCTTCCCGCCTCTTTCTGTTTTCTTCCCCTTCGTCATCCATTCCCCCCAAAAAATACAATCTTTTTTTTTGGTCTTCTCGTCAAACTTGGCCGGAAAAAATGGCGGACTCGAGTTCTGCCGCCCTCTTCCCCGACCCCCACCACTATTACTCCCCTCTTCCTCTTCCCCTCGATAATCCCCAAATCCCCGCGGCCCCGCCCGAACTCCAATGGACTTTCGAACCGCCCGACCCTCCATTTCCCGCCATTTCTCAACCCGAACCTCCCCGGGGATCCGCTAATCCGACCCCAATAACCCCTTTATGTTCATCCATGGCCCCCGCGTCCCCGTCTCCGTCCCTCTGCAATCCTTCCTGTCTCCTCCTCCGAGAAATAAGTCACACAAACGGTGCGCTGCCGAACTCAAAAAATTATTGACAAACTTTGAGGATCGAAAAATAAAATTTGTTTGATTTTTTGAGAGTTTCTTGAAATTGCTTTTCTTGCTTATTAGGGCTTCAAATATGGAAACTTCAGATCCATGGAGGCATTGGAATGGTGACTCACGCAGTGCTTGAGAAACTTTCTTCAGATTTTTCTTTACTGCCAGAGTACCAAACCTTCGAGTAAGGATATCTTTATTACAATAATAAATTAAAATTACAGTTAATTATAATCTCAACTTGACAAATAAAAAGTGAGATTTGTCTCTGATACGTATAAATTTGACGTTTTTTTGCGCGTCTTTTCTGTCATCGGGACATTATATATATGGGTTCTAATGTAATTGTGGGTATTATGAATGGTGTTGTGACAAAATTGCAGTTTTTGCATGGAAAGTGGGAATGGAGTGAAGCAATTTTTGGTAGGGTATTTTGAGGGTAGAAAGGAAGAGGGATATGTTGTGCTTGAAGATCCATTGTGGGAATTCTATGATGCTTTGAGTGTTGGATTGGGAGTGGGTGATTTTTTGGACATTGACTCGTTCTTTGAACTCACAACTCCTATTGATTCAGGTTCGTAAATTTAGATTGAAAATATTATTATATTTTCTTTCAAAAAAATCATGAACTTATTTTCTCTGTCTCAAAATTATTTTTTTTGGGAAGTCAAAAAAACATTTTTTTTCATATTATTCGAGAGATATCATTAACTAGAAGCAAAATTGGGCTTTATTAACGAATATAATGCCTTCGATGTTTATATACTAAAATATGACTTCTACACCTAACAATACTAATTTGCTGGGATTTCACAATGTCAACACGTTTAGAAATAGGCAGTAGAAATGTATGATTTTTTATTTTGGTTGGTATATAATTTCTTATTTTATTTTCCTTTTTAAGTAAAGAACACTTAAACAAATACTCCTTTTTTTTGGAAAAAAAACGATAATAATTAAGGCCCCTTCTCATTGACTTAAATTTCCTGTTTACAGAGGATTATCTATTAAAATCAGATAGATTAGATAAAATCATAAAGACTCATTTTTTAAATACTATTCCATAATTATTTTTAGCATTAATTAAGAGATCAAAATTTTTGCCAAACAGGTAGCAACCAATTGAATGAACAAGACATGCCAAACAATCAAAACGGCGCGCCACCCGCACCACCGCCGGGAGACGGCGGGAATGGAAGCGGCAGCGGCGATAAACCCCAAAAGATCCCTCTTTCCGCGCAGAGAGAAAGGACGGGGAAGCTGAAGGTGAAGGACTTTGCAGGGTACCTCCATCTCCCGATAGAGGAAGCTGCCCGGAGAATGAACATCTGCCCGACGGTGATGAAGAAGATCTGCCGGCGAGACGGGCTGGTGCGGTGGCCCTACCGGAAGATCAGAAGCATCCAGAGGAAAATCGCCGCCAGGTCCAAGGCCTTGTCCGGTGACGACCCCGACGAGCGCCGCCGCGCCCATCTCGAAATCCTTGACCTTCAGCAGCAGCTCGCCGCCATTTCTCAAGCATTCTTGGGTTGATTTCTCGTTCATACTCATTTTGGTCCCCTCTCTATTCAAATTATTTAAGGTCCGGTTAGTACATGGAATTCAAACCATGAAATTGAAATTGAAGACTTCAATTCCAATTCTGATGTTTGGTAGCACAACAATTATGTGGATTTTGAATTGATAGTGCAAAAAATGAATTCGAATTGCCAGAATTCAATTTTATGGAATCGAATCCCATGGAATTTCAATTCCAATTCAATTCTAATTTCGTCAATTCCGTATACCAAACGGACACTATGTCAAATTCGTTTCTGTACGTAAAAAATGTAAATTCAGTTACTTCATCGAACAGAATTTATCCCTTAAAATGTCTTGAAGGAATTCAATTTTTTTGTGTACATAGACATCTATGCATGTAACATATGATTCTTTACTGGTTCCATTAATGACCATATGAAGGAAAGAGAGAGGTGTTTGTAAGTGATTAACTTGTGAATAAAGTGATTTAAGTAGAGCATCTCATTATTACTTTTCCAAAACGGTGTTCTATGTACAAAATAGTGTTATCTGTAGTATGTTTTTGTTATTATTCGAAGCTCGGCATGTTCATATATCAATGCTAGGTTTGGTTTCTACACGCGCTGGTTGAAAATTATACTCTCCTTATTCATACGGAGTATTTTATTTTGACAATTTGATTTCATGCCTTCAAAGAAAGTTTTGAAAAAGAAAAAAAGTGAGCATTGAAAATTGTTTTGAAAAAAGAAATTAAAAGTAAATACCACATATGAATTATTTTAGAGTTAATTTTTTAAATGGTCTTTTTAAATGAGGTATTTTCCCAAAATAGTTCTAAATAAGTAATGCTCCCTCCGTCCCGTTTTAAATCGTCCGTTTTGACTCTGGAACATATTTAAGGAAGAGAAAAAATAGAGTTGACTTTCCAAAATTGTCATTACTTTTTGGGAGGAGTAACGATGAATGAAAAGATAAGGTGGAGAAGAGTGACTAATTTTAGGGATAGTTTAAGTATTTTACTCTTAAAAAAGTTTATGAAAACAAGAAACAGACAACTTATTTTGGGACGTGGGACGGAGAAAAAAGACAAACAGACGATTTAAAATGGGACAGAGGGAGTAATTATTTGTGTTACATTGATCCTTTATAATTTAGATTTATTCCCTAAATAATCCTCTACCGAAAGTATCTATTAAATGTCAATCAAATAAAAAGTATTTTGGTATTTTTCTATCATCTAAATTTAAAGTATGTTCTCGAAACGCTCCGTTATAATTAAGTATCTTTTAAAACTGATAATTTCTAAATAAATAATTTTCTGAAACGGAGTCCATGAGCCCACTCGGGGTGAGTCTCTTCATCTAGCAACCACCCATTTAATTTGAAAAGACCATTGTGAAGACATATTCATAGTTAAGATGAAGGAAGATACCAAAATACCCTTGACTAAACTGTCATTTAACTAACTTTTTTCACAGATTATTTAGGAAAAGCATTTCAATTACAAAGGACCACGTTAATAATTATTTCTTATTGAGGACTAATTCAAAAAAAAACCTTATAAGAAAGGAACGTTTTGAAAAATTCACTCATTATTATATTAGTAAAATAAAGAATGCATGCAAAGTATTTGGGAGACAATTCCAAAGGGAAGTATATCTCAATGATTTGGACGGAGGAGGGAGTACAAGTTTAAAATATCGAAAATGCCAAATTATGTCCAAAAATGTGATTTAGAAAATGGATAAATCCTTGGAACTCGAACCAGCAACGAGGGATCCAGAGGGGAAGTGAGGAGTGGCAGTTCCCGCTCTTCAAATTTGGGACGGGAACTGGCAACCCCCACTCCCCGATTCCCGGTTGCTGCAAATCGGTACTGGACTCGCCGAAAGGACTGAACCGGTTCGGCAGGCTTCAGGTTCCCACTGTTTGGGTGACTGGGAACACAGCTAAACATAAAACGTTAGCACAAAAAACACGTGCACATATTTACCTCAAAAGGACAGAAAAGTCTCCCCCACTAATGCCCCGCCACATTGCCATCTTTTGTAGACACCCCCCGTCCTTCCGGCAGCCCAACAGAAGTTTCTTCGATCTTCCCAGGAAGTTTACTAGGAAAGACCCTCCTGACAAGGGGGAGAGCCTCCAAACAACATATATGTGTGTGTGCATTAAGAATGGGAAGATTACCAGTGTGGAGTTTTCCGACAATGGAGTCTACCATATACGATGATGTCTTTGCCTGGGACTTCTCTGATGAGTTCCTTGGGCTCTTTGACTGGGCTGAGGAAGATCCACTCTCTCTACTCATCAACGACCAACCTCCATTGTATCCGGCAGACGAGGAGGTTTTGCCATCTTCTAATGGAGCTTGCAGCTTCAAAAGAGGATCTAAAAAGGGTAAGAAACAGAAAAGCATGCCTTAAAAATAAAATAATTTGTAGAATTAAGCTTGGGGGTTCCCTAAGTGTGACCCCCACGCCACTCCCCATGCAGATGCCCTAAGTGTGACCCCCCACGCCACGCCATTCACATTGTCGGTCATGTCGGTGTATAAGAATGTTTATGAGGTGGTGTGGGAGTTGGGGTGACACTTGGGGTACCGCTAGCATGATTCTACAAAGTATCATGCATCGGAAGCTCAGCTCCACTCTGAGCACACGTGACACGAGACTCTCACCTGCGGCCACTCTTTCGAGGATCCTTTTGAAGTGAACTAGACCTAATTCACCTCTTGAGGATCCTTTGATTAGGGGTTATTTAGACCTAATTTAATGAATATGTGTCGAATTGCAGATGGTGGAAACAAAAAGGGAGCAAAACAAAAGTTTGCATTCAAAATAAAGTCAGTTATTGAAGTACTTGATGATGGCTACAAGTGGAGAAAGTATGGCAAGAAGATGGTGAAGAGCAGCCCGAATCCGAGGTATTACGAATCATAACGATAGCCAATCCATGTTCTTGAAATCAAGAAAACCATCAAACCTGATTGGAATCATCCTGCAGTCCTGCCACTCTCTTCCAGCAGAGTTCTGCAGAACAGTATTAAAGTTCAAACACTGAATGCAAAAGCACTAAGAGCACTGGCAATGGTAGTAACGCCCGGGGGCGTGAGGGGGCGTTTAACGCCCCGGAGACGTTAAACACCGCCCCCCGGCGACGTTAAAGGGGCGTCATCGCCTGCCCGTCATTCGTTTGACGCGGCTCGGCCCTTCGTCATCCCCCCCAACGGCTCTCCCAACGGCTTTTTTAGCCGTCCCCCCCCATTAAAAAAAATTTCAAAATTTAAAAAAAAACCTATAAATTCCCCTAAAAATATCATTCTCTCACACATCTCTCTCTCACATCTCTCTTCATATTCTTTCTAAAGTATTTTATATTTATTATAAATCTTTAAAAAATATATTTTTAAAATGGGTTAATGAGACCGCAACGGACTCCTCTTTTGAGCTTAGAGAAACGCTTTACAAGCGTGGATATTATTTGACCGATGGAATATATCTGGATTATTCCACGATTGTGAAATCCCTCTCCGAATCAATGGGTCTTAAACGCTAGACATACACAAGGTCAAGAGGCGGCGAGAAAAGACATTGAACGAGCCTTTGGGGTCTTGAAGGCTAAGTGGCACATTCTAGATTGTCCGTCGAAATGTTATTCTCAAAATGAAGGTTTGAAGCCCCGGGGCTTCAAAACCATTTCCAGTGAATTTTTGGTGTAAGTTAAAGCTGACGTGGCAGAGAGAGAAAGTTTGAAGCCCCGGGGCTTCATGACCATTTCCAGTGCTCTAATAGTGTGGTTTTTTATTTATTGCATGTCAACAGGAACTACTACAAGTGCTTGGTGAATGGCTGCCCAGTGAAGAAGCGAGTTGAGCGGGAGAAAGAAGATCCAAGAAATGTGATAACAACCTACGAGGGCACCCATAACCATGAGTGACAAAAATCATTACATGTTAAAAAAATTACCACCTCGGTACTTTGCTGTAGATTCTGTCGCCCTTGTAATAGGTTGTTGTATCATTTCGTCATCACCTACCAGTGTTAGGCCAAAAAATAATAATGAGCCACGGTGATAAGATCATAAGAACTTGTGAGGTCAACTAGTTAAAAGCACGTCCCACTGTCTTTGTCTACTTTTGACTTTTGGAACTGTTCATCTAAGTACTTTGACTCATAAATTCTCTCAATGTGTAAGCCTAAATATAGTCATGTGTGATCTTGTTTGATTTGTGTAGACAACCCAAAGATTTTTTTTTTTAATTTTCTAAAGCCAGTTGGTGTAGATGTTATAATGCTACACACCCGACACCCCCCACACACACACATTTTTTTACCTTGTCTAAAAGGGGATCAATTACTATGTTCCCCATGAGAAACAAACATGAAGAATAATACTGAAAAATAAAATGCTTGTAAAGACTATAAAAGAAAACATCAATTTCAACACTTGGTTAGTCTCTAATTACTCAGTACACTTGTCCATTACCTCTACACCCGTCTTTAATTGCAAGATTAGCAAAGTTTAGATACAAATATGTATGCGCGCACACACACACACACAGCAAAAATTTCCATACTTTCATCTTGCAAGTGGCAACTTGGCTACTTGCACGCAATGGCTCAAAGAACTGACGCACTTCTAGGTTATATACATACATAGCAACCTGAAAGAGTTCAACGCTGAAAAGGGTTGTAATTAATCTCGAATTTAAGGGAAAAAAACTGACAAGATTTAGGAATTTCCCAAATCTCATATAGAATATAAGAGAATATTCCAGGAAAAGATTTGGTATTGAATGGTGTTGAGTGTTACTTCAAAGTCCCACATCGGTGGGATAGGAAAATTGAAGAGGGATTGGAGCCTATAAATAAAGAGGAGATATAGGCTTCCATTACACAACACAATCCTTCAATCTATATAATTGTGTATTAGATTTTAGGTTGTGAGTGTCAAATATTGAAGAGGGTTTGTAATTTTTCCGTGCAAAAATTACTAGTGAGATTTTATCCCAGAGGGGGTCGTGGAGTAGGTCTTGAGGTGCCGAACCACGTTAAAAATTGTGTGCTGCTTTTTTTCCTTTTCTTTCCATTTGTTTGGAGTGGGGGCCTAACAAGTGGTATCGGAGCCAGGTTGCAGAGCTCGGGTGATCTGGTAATTATAATTCTTAGTATGCTCTGTGGTTGCAGCTTTGACTGATCTTCCACATCAGAAAAGAATTATTAATTACAGAGTTGCAGTTTAGGGAGGAAGGAGATAGAGCAAGGAGCAAGAGGAGGGCGTGCCACTTCAGTGGAGGAGGTGGTGGTCCAGTCAGCAGAGGTGGGTCCGTGAGTGCCACGTCAGCAGTTTGTGGGTCTGAGTGCCAGGTCATCATCCAGTCAGCGACACATCAGTAGGTCCAGTCATCGTGTGGGTCCCGCTGGTGACTTTCGGAGAGAAGTTGGTTCTGACTAATTTTGACGTCCTGATTCCATTTTTGAGGCCAGTTTCCTCAAATTTGGATTGTTTGGTATTGGTTGATTGCTGCTTGAGTGGAACTATGACTACCTTGAAGTTTGAAGTTCCGTTATTTGATGGAAGAGCGGACTTCATGTTGTGGCAATGCACGATCCAAGACTATTTGGTCCAGCAAGGTCTTGATTTAGCATTGCAAGATGAGAAGCCAAGTGATATGAAAGAATCAGAGTGGAGTACAATCCAGAAGAAGGCTGTCAGCACAATTCGGTTGGCACTGTCCCCACAGATTAAAGTGACAGTGCTGAAAGAGACATCACCAAAGAAGCTGTGGGAAACGTTGGAGAGCAAGTTTGCGT